AAAATCTTAAAAAAAAAAAAAGAAAAATATAAAATATAAGAAGCCTAATTTCTCCCACATGACCCTAAACCAACAAAAAGGACTGAGTATTTGTTGGATTATCAATAATGAATTTAATGAAACAATGTCTGGGAAAAGTAAAAACCATCACCTCCAGTGATCACTGATATCATATGGAATTCATACATACTTCATTCGGTAAAATAAAACCCTTAGGGGTTAAAAAAAAAAACAAAAACCCTTAGAATATGTTAAAAAAAAAAAGTTTCAAATCCAAGATTTTAAAAAGTCAAAGCTCAGGCACTGAACAACTATTCAACTATTAGGCCCCTATTGTTGCTTATTTCTTCTCTGTACTGGGAAATAATCTTATATTCATCCTTGTGATGCTTTTAAACTGTTTTTCAAAACAAGGCCCCTGACAATCTAAAGAAGGTAAGTTTCTACACTGCAAGAATATTTAGGCACCAAGTAAATACCCCAGTCGGCTGATGACTTTAGTATGCACTGATAATATTCACACACTTCTCTACAAATATAATGGTTTTGCAAATTAGGGATTTTTTTATTTTTATCATTCTTTGGGTATTATTATTATTGTTATTATTAACCTGTAAATAAGACTGGTATACTATAAACTGTAGTTACTCTACTTGGGAAAAGTAAATGTCTGTGCTAACTTCAGCAGCACATATATTAAAGCTGGAAGATTAGCAGGGCACCTCTGCAGGGATGACATGAAAATCTGGGAAAGGTAAATGCTTAGTTCTTTCCTTTTAATTCATAATTTCACAAGAAAGTAATTGCTATATAAAGGTCACCCTGCACAGTAGTAAGCAAGTTTTTTTGTCCTGTTTCTTTTTTGTAGCATGGTTAACAAGCATATGGATTCTTATAAACGTTAATATAGCAGTCCAAAATCCTCCCCTCATCTCCTCTTCCCAATGACAATTCACACCCCCTTGCCAAAGTTAACTATTATCCTAACTTCTAATAACACTGATAAGGGTCGCCTGGGTGACTCAGTCGTTAAGCGTTTGCCTTCAGTTCAGGTCATGGTCCCAGGGTTCTGGGATTGAGCCCCACATCAGGCTCCCTGCTCAACGGAGAGCCTGCTTTTCCCTCTCCCTCTGCCTGCCTGTGTTCCCTCTCTCGCTGTCTCTATCTGTCAAATAAATAAAACCTTAAAAAAAAAAAAAACTGATAAGACTCATCTGTTTATAAATCTAATATAAACAGAGCCATACAATATATATTCTTTTCACTTTGCTTTTTTTTTTCACTCAACATTAGTTTCAGAAACACATCCAGGTTGTAGGAGGCATCTAAAGTTTATTCATTTTTTTTTTGCATTTTTTATTTTATTATGTTATATCACCATACATTACATCATTAGTTTTTGATGTAGTGTTCCATGATTCATAGTTTGCATATAACACCCAGTGCTCCATTCAATACATGCCCTCTTTAATACCCATCACCAGGCTAACCCATCTCCCCCACCCCCTCCCCTCTAGAACCCTCAGTTTGTTTCTCAGAGTCCATAGTCTCTCATGGTTCGTCTCCCCCTCCAATTTCCCCCCCTTCATTTTTCCCTTCCATCTTTTTTTTAACATATAATGTATTATTTGTTTCAGAGGTATAGGTCTGTGATTCAACAGTCTTACACAATTCACAGCACTCACCATAGCACATACCCTCCCCAATGTCTATCACCCAGCCACCCCATGCCTCCCACCCCCCACCACTCCAGCAACCCTCAGTTTGTTTCCTGAGATTAAGAATCCCTCATATCAGTGAGATCATATGATACATGTCTTTCTCTGATTGACTTATTTCGCTCAGCATAATACCCTGAAGTTCATCTATTTTTTAATCCTTTATTTAAATTCAATTTAGTTAACATATACTGTATTATTGGTTTCAGGGGTAGAATTTAGTGATTCATCAGTTGCATAGAACACCCAGTGCTCATTCAATCAAGTGCCCTCCTTAATGTCCATCACCCAGTTACCCCATCCCCCCAACCACCTCCCCTCCAGCAACCCTCAGTTTGTTTCCTAGAATTAAGCATCTCTTATGGTTTGCCTCCCTCTCATTTTCATCTTATTTCATTTTGCCTTCCTTTCCCCTATGTTCATCTGTTTTGTTTCTTAAATTCCACATATGAGTGAAATCATATGGTATTTGTCTTTCTCTGACTTAATGATTTTGCTTAGCATCCATTTTAATTGCTGTAGGGCAGGGGTTGTGGAACATCATATTCACTCATTTATGCTTTATCTACAGCTGCTTTCTCAGTGTTCTAGCAGGACTGAGACCACATGGCCCCAAAATCTTAAAAGACTTATTCGATCCTTTACAGAAAAAGTATGCCAAATCTATGAAAGAGCATTAGTTCTCAAACATTAATACTCAACAGAATCACATAAAGGACTTATTAAAACACAGACCACTTGGCCCCAGGCCCAAAATTTCTGAATAAGTAGGTACAGAGTGGGGTCCAATATTTGCATTTCTAACAAGTTCTTAGGTGATGCTACCAGTAGGGATAGGAGAACAATACTTTGAAAACCAATGCTGTGCAGTATTTATATGCAATTTATTCACCCACTGCACTACTGATAGACATTACAGTTATTTCTAATTTTTAGCAATTAAAAATGCCATTATTAACATTTGTGCACAAAAGTTTTAGTGTGCATTTATATGCATTTTGAAACTGAAAACACAGGCTTATAAACTACACATGTATAATAACCTCAACAGATACTGCCAAGCAGCTTGCAGAGTATGTGTACCAATTTATGCAACCATCACCCGTGTATGGGACTTTCCCATGTACAGTATCTCTAATATTTGTATTATCAGTTTTTTTCATTTCGTCCTTCTCATGAATGCCTAGGGGTATCTCACTGTGGTTTTAATTTTAATTATCTGATGACTAATAAGTGAAAAATCTTTTCCTATGTTTACCCTCCATTTGGATGTCCTCACATGTCTATGTTGATAATAAAAACTCTGAGGAAAAATCCCTGCCTTAGTCATAGGGATTCAGTCTATTTCCATTAAGTTAGATATTATTTATAGATTTTTGTAAATGCCCTTTATCAGGAAGTTCCCTTCTATACCTAGTTTGCTGAGGATTTTTTTTTAACATGAATAGTTATGCAATTTTATCAAATGCTTCTATTGAAATAACAGTAAGTTTTTTCCCCGTTTTGTTAATAGATGAATTAAATCAACTGATGATTGATGTAACACACACCAGAAAAAAACTCCACTTGGCTCTCATATATTATCCTTTTACATATCTTGCTGGATTTAGTTTGCTAATACTTGTTTAGAATTTTTTAATCTATGCTTATGAGTGAAATTCACTTTAATTTTCACTTCTAATAATATCCCTAAAAGATTTGGATATCAGTGTTATCTTAGCCTCCTAAAATGCACTGTGAATTGTCCCCTCTTTTGCTATTCCACATAAGAACATATGTCAAACTGATACTAATTCTTTCAATGTTGACAAAATTCACCAATGGAGCCATCTTGGTTTACAATGTTCTTTATGGAAAGGCTTTTAATTACACATTCAATATTTTTAATAGAATCAGATTTTGTATTCTGTGTCAGTTTTGAAAATATTTTTTTCCTATCATTTCATAAGTGTACTTATGGACATAAAGCTGTTTAGTGTATACTATTATCTTTTTATTTTTAATATGTGTAGGATCCACAGTGAAGTCCTCTTTATAACTGGAATTCTGATTATTTATATCACTCTCTGTCTTTCTCTGTCACTCATTTGGATGAATTTCTTGCGGGGTCTTATTAGTCATTTCAAAGTAATACTTTTGACTTTGTTGATCTTCCATGGCATATTTGTTTTCACTCTTATTTAATTTCCTCTCTTATCTTCATTATTTCCTTCTTTATACTTTCCTTTGGTTTAGTCTGCAGATCTTTTTCCAATTTGTTGGGATGGATATTTATATATATCATTGCTCTTCAATTTTAAAATCTTCTAACAGCTATAAAATTTTCCTCTAAATACACCTTTGGTTACATCCCACAAGTTTTTGTTTTTTTTGTAAGATTTTATTTATTTATTTGACAGAGACAGACACAGCGAGAGAGGGAACACAAGCAGGGGGAGTGGGAGAGGGAGAAGCAGGCTTCCTGCTGAGCAGGGAGCCCAATGCGAGGCTCTATCCCAGGATCCTGGGACCATGACCTGAGCCAACGGCAGACGCTTAATGACTGAGCTACAAGTTTTAAGATGCAACATTTTCATCCAGTTCAGTATATTTTATTCAACCTCTAGACTATGTAGAAGTGCATTAATTAATTTTTACCCATAAAGGTACTTTCCGGTTACCTTTTGATTATTGGTTTCAGGCATAATTTCTTTATGGTATTTAAATATGTATGGTTTCAATCCCTGAAATTTGACCCTTGTGTTATGGTCCAGTATACAAACAAATCTTACACATTTTGTAAATTTGCAGTTATCTATATATGTCAAATAAGTATTTGCTTTAAAAATCTCATAGGGACGCCTAGGTGGTTCAGTCAGTTAAGTGTCTGCCTTCGGCTCAGATCATGATCCCAGGGTCCTGGGATCAAGTCCCGCATCGGGCTCCTCGCTCAGTGGGGAGCCTGCTTCTCCCTCTACCTGCTGCTCCCCATTTGTGCTCTCTCTCTCTGACAAATAAATAAAATCTTCAAAAAAAAAAAAAAAGGAAAGGAAAATATTGAATGCTAGATCCTGTATATGAAAAATCATACAGATAATTTTAGCACTAGGATGATCTCTTCCTCCACTGGACAGTGAATTTGCTCTTGGCAGGTGGCTAAGAACATTAGGAATTCTATATTCTTTTAACCCAACTGGAACTGAGAAAATTTTAAACTGGGCTTCAGTCCCTCAGATGCCTGATCTATTTCTGGTTTATCTTTACTTCTAAGATGTAACCCTTTAAGGTCTCAAGCAGAAAACCTGTAGGAGTTATCAGCGGGTTCTTCCTTGTTCTTGAATCTGGAGAAAACCCTGTTCATCTTCTCAGATTCTCAAGCCTGGCTCTTTCAGAATCAGCACCTCTCTACCAGAATAAAGAAATGTCTTTAGCAACAAAGCAGTCCAAAAATGCTGGGCTCATCTCCCTGGGTTTCCTTCTTGCAGATATAAGCCCTGTAGAACTTCACTTATTTAGATGTACCCCAATGCCTTCAAATGTATTTTGTTCATTCTTTTTAGGTGTTCTGCAAGGCAATTTGGTCAAAATTTCCTAGTCTGACATCCCCAGAAGTGACAGAAACAAACAAAAAAACCTCACTAGATTATAAATGCCTCAGATAAGATCCCTGCACTCCAAATTTTCTGTCTTCAATGCCTAGCACAGTGTGTGACACATAACTGTTATTCAATTTAGTGATGAACCAATGCCTTGAAGAATAATTCTGAGCAACTAAAGGAAATAAGAGAGCGGTATTATAAATGACAACATTAAATATATTTTCAAATCACAGAAACTTCTGGTCTGTCTCTTATTCCACATTCTCTTTACATATAACTTAATTCAGGACTCAGAATCACACAGTCACACTACTTCAACTGGCTTATGGATTATGTCCTTCCCTCCAGGTATTTTACCCTCTCTTCAGTCCATCTTCCACAGTTCAAATCCTCTGCTAAATATACTTCAAATTGCTCCTCATTTTCTAAAAGAAAAACTCCAATCTCCTTTACATGACATATAAAGCCCACAACTATATGACCCGAGGATATTTCATAAACTTATCTCCCTCCCTGTCTCCATTCTTATATCATGTATTTTAGCTATGCTATTTTCAGTTCCTCAAAAGTGTCATGCTGTTTTATGCCTCACAATTTTAAGGATATTGTTACCTTTGTTTAAAATATCTTCTCCCCACTGACAATCTGGTAAACTCAATCTTCTATTCAAAACTATATTCCAGAATCACCCCTGGGAAATCTTAGTAGACTTTTAGGAAGTTCTAATCAACTTCATCCTTTATATCACTACTTTTAACCTGCTATACGATTTTGGCACTCATCATCCTGCAGGGCAATTATTACACCTCTCTCCCATCCTGTAGGACAGGATGGGACATTTTTGGACAAAATTTATTTTAGTATTCAAAATTTTCAAGATGTTTCCTCCCAAAGCATATTTGATAACTTTTTATTTCTATCTTCTTTTTCAAAAAGTTTTATCTACTTAACCGATTTTGTATTCAGTTGAATTTAACAAATACCCATCTCAAGTACCAGAGATAGACAAATAAATAAAACAGTTAATATTTAAACTGCCTTAAATCTATTATTCCCAGCAAATCCATTTTAAGTGAAAAAACATGACAAGGGAGAGAAAGGAAGAATAAAACAGATGAGATGGCAAAGAGGTGCAAGGTCTCTAAACCTTCTATAAATTATAGCAAAAGCGTACCCGCCACATTAAATTACAAAAGAGAATACTGAAACTTGAAAGGAAAAACAAGATGTATCTTAGACTCTAAGTCTTCTGATCCATAATTCCACCACACTGCCCAAAATTATGATATTCAGGTAGCAAATAAATAAAGATCACCCACGCCCAAATAGCTCTGAACACATTTTCCATAAACTGTAAGGTTTTTTTTCATACATGTTTTTAGGCAAAGTATTTCTTATGGCTCCTCAATGTCTAATCTACACTTCTAGAAAAGGTAAAAATAATTTCAGTAATAGTCAGATAATACCTTTTCTCTTCAAAAGCAATTTACTTACTCTTCTAATGACCCAGAGAGTAACTGCCACGTCACTTAGTAAAACACAGCACACAGTCAACAAAATGCATTTCTCCACCCCTCCAGTATATATATCCATTTGCAAGAGATAAAAAATACTAGTTTAGCATGATCTAGCTAAAAAAAACACTAGAATGAGTCAAGCAGACCAATCCCAGCCCAGCTTTTTGGTTAAAACAAGAATTATGGAGGCAGACTGTTAAGGTTTGAATACTGGCTTTAGTTACCATCTGTAAAACCAGAATAAAAATAGCACCTGCCTGATAAATAGTAAGTACCACATAAATGTTAGCTAATATAACAAATAATACTGCATTATCTTTTAATAGCTCCATCAGAGAGTCTAGCTAAAAGGCTATGTGTTAAAAATTGTAAGCATCATCAAGATGGCCAAAACTAGTGCTGCTTGTGCTGTTAATCAGTCCTCAGAACCCTTTAAGCAAGACAGATGTGCTTAAGCTAGGACAGAGGGCAACAAGCCTTAGTGATAAGAAAGATCTTTTTTTGTTTTTGTTTTGTAGACCTGTTGTGGTCCTCCTGTTCATTTCATTTCTTCACCATTTCCCTTGAGATAAATGTGAATCCTGCTTCTGTTTATATCCTCCTATACAAACTGAAATTGTGGGCTACAATCTCAACTTGTTACTAACTTGAAACTTAGCTTGCAGAGGGACGCCTGGGTGGCTCAGTCGGTTAAGCGGCTGCCTTCAGCTCAGGTCATGATCTCAGGGTCCTGGGATCAAGTCCCGCATCTCCCTGCTCAGTGGGAGCCTGCTTCTCCCTCTCCCTCTGCTTGTGCTCTGTCAAATAAATAAAATCCTGAGGGGTGCCTGAGTGGCTCCCTGAGTGGCTCAGTC